CTCACACAAAGTAATCCACGAACGGCACAAATTCATGGTCTGTGGTCCCTGTCAAAGAACGTGTTGGTATAGGAAGGTTCTAGTTATCCTCACTAGTCTTTAAAGGCTCCCAAGGTGCCCCTATTATAGGGACCCAATACCACTGTCGCCATCACCTAGCAAACTCTAAGGTCTGACGTAGTATTTCAGGCTAGAGTAACTAGTTATCACCTTGAGTGTGATTTCCAACAAGGCTTGCAGGCTTTAAGGCCATACTTGGGCCGATTGTACGTCAACCACTCCCTATGTTTACACGCTCATGCCCTCGGGTATAGATGGAACTGTTGTGTGCAAGGGTTGTCGCAACCCGAAAATTTTCGAGCTCGCGACTAATGATTTAGACATCCTTTTAAAAGTCTCATCAATTAAGGAATGCCCGGACACCAGACTAATCCTTAATTAATGGTTTTGAAAATAGGTTCCAATGTTTTACTCAAAACATTGGAAAAAGAAAAGGTTTTTAAAAGTCCAATAATGGTCTTGATAACCAGAATTGGGTTCGGGGGTCGGTTACGTGCAGGGAAGGTATTAAGCACCCCTACAACGCCCTAAATCGGTACCCTATGATGAAGATAACATAATAAGAATTAATAATTAAAATATTTAATCCCCTTTATTAATGATTATTTACATGAAAATTAAATTACACGGTTGAACCCTAAGAAATCTACATAATTGCGTTTATGATAGCAATAATTAAAATAAAAGAAGAGAAAAATAGAACAAGGGATTGATGAATAATACCTCGTAACAAGCTTTATTAGATCTTCAACTATGGAGATTTTAGGTGCTTTGGGGCAACCTTTCACACTACAATGCCTCACAAAATCTCAAGAAATACAAGAGAGAGAAAAAGAGAGAAATTTCGAGCTCCAGGGAGTCTGCACCAAATTTCGAGTCCGGAGAAATGAGCCTCAGCTGTCTATTTATAGACTTCAGAAGGGGTCCAGAACGGCCCGTTCCAAAATTGGAACGGCCCGTTCTGGACATGGCCGTTGTGTGTAAAATTCGTATACTGGAACGGCCCGTTCTGGAATTGGAACGGCCCGTTCTAGTAGTGAGAATAACACCTAATTTCTTAGACCGGAACGGCCTTGGAACGGCCCGTTCCAGATTTAGGAACAGCCCGTTCTGGTTTAGGAACGGCCCGTTCCATTTTAGCAACGACCTGTTGATGGAATAACACTAAGGCCAAGAAGACCAAGAGG